CGATTCGCCACGGATGGCGCCACCGTTCAAAAAAATAGTGGTACTCCGCGATTAAATGCGATTTTAACAATGTTCTGGTGGTTTATTGTTATTTTCAATGACAGGAGATTAATCTACGTTCTTTTAGCTACAAATTGAGTACTTTGTTAGGACGGAAGCTGTCAGCATAACGTTGGAAGAGTAGTCCAAAGTGAACTAAACGGGTTACGCATAACGAGATACAGTGTCAACCGTTGCAAATAATTGTGATTTTAACAATGTTCTTGTAATTACTGGTTCCCGGCTGCTAGAGAGTGCTAATCTACGTTCTTTCAACTTCGTATTTAAGGCGTGACAAAGATAAATGATGCTCGTTTCGTGGTGTAAATGTGATTGAAACATGTTGGAATAAAGGTTGCCGCTTCCTAAGGGTCTGCGTTAATACAGGCATATATAATTTTACTAATTCTGGGGTTCTGCAGTATCGAGTCCATGAATTAAGTCGTCAGGAATAATTTGAGACCAACGACGTTCATTTTGAGCGCTTAATTACTGAGATATTCGCATTTTTCCATCACTAGGAATTTTCACTCACCTGTCGATATAATTTGGCTAGCAGTTTGCGCGAATTGCCACGGGTGGCGCCACCGGTCGAAAAAATAGTGGTATTCCGCGATTAAATGTAATTTTAACAATGTTCTGGTCACTTATTGTTATTGTCAATGGCAGTGGATTAATCTATGTTCTTTCAGCTACAAATCAAGTGCTTTGTCTAGACGAAAGCTATCCGTATAACGGTGTAAGTGCTATCCAAAGTGAACTAAACGGGATACGCTTCTACTTTCCATTCATTGGGTCACTTGTGTATGCTCCGGGGGTTCTATGACCCCACTTTCTCACACCGGAGTCTCAACGCATCGTAACAAATTAATATTACACATTAATTAACTAGGAATTTCTAGAGTATATTAAAGAATTATTACAAACATTAATGATATACTTTGTCATAAAAGAAACTATTTGACAATTGTTAATATACTGCTTGTGTAAAAACGGCAGAAGGATTTATAATATAGTAGAAAGGAAAATGTGAGTGAACACATAATTCATGTAGCCCGAAAGATGGTTTGTATTGACATATGAAGATCCTAAACGATACGCCCAAAATCTCCGTAGATTTGTAGGTGGAACGAGATATATTATTTTAGTTTCGGGTTTACACAAAAGGCCCTTCGCGCTGTTTATTTAACTTGGCGTTCTTTATCCGTCTTGCCTTACCGCGTACTTCCTCTGTTTTCCTTCCGGAAGCCGCACAAATTTTCTCTGACAACATTCTATGCCCCTCTCGCATTGTTTCCACAATATTAATATTTTTGAAATTTAGAAATTAGTGAACAGTTCCGACCATGATTTGCGGAAGGTTCGTCGTATTATTTTTAAATTTCCAAGAAGAAACTACGCGCTATAACTGTACTTTCTACTATTTACTATTGAAAAGATTAGATACAGACAAAATATTTAAACATTAGGTGTACCAATAAGTAATTCACCATTTTGTTTGAATAAAATTGTAACACAATATGAATTCAAAATATATTCTAACCCTTTCTTCGTAAGAATGGCGGAAAATGATCGAAAACGAGGACACATACATACACATAGTACAGTAGCAAAACAGCCTCTTAATTTCCTTTAGAAGGATTACTAAGTTAAATAAAATATAGTGGATTATTTATTAGTATATACATTCGTATTAATGGTAAAGATCGTTAGTATAAATTGTCAAAGGGTCAAAGATCAAATGGTCTATTTACAATTTAAAGAGCATGTATTATTCAGCCCTAATGTGTATTACAATAGATATCATTTCATGCATTGTTTGTGGTAATCAAACTGAAGCACTGTGTATCAAAAGAATTAAAATATACTTTTTCCATTTATAACTTCGAGGATCCCATAGAACATTTTTACAGTAACTGAGAAAAGGTAGACTGAAATGATTTACAATTGTAGAAATACTTTATTGGACTAGTTCTTACGATTTGGTTACAATATTGGTTACAATAAATATTGTTATTGTATTAATAATCGTTCTTAGAAGCGCTATTTAGTGTATCAATAAATAATCGAATAATAAGGCACTCTGTAATAAATATAGGATCATATGGTTATCAATTTTGGCACCACTTGGAGAGATAGTACATCTCGTTCGTGAATAGAACGTTCTTCTTTGGCTCGTAAAAAACATTCGAATCCCGTCGCTTGGAGATTGGTATTAGAAATAGGAGAGCTGCGGCTCGTGATTGTGACGCATTGACATGCTCTGATGTCCAGGGTGATGGAAATTCTGGATCTCGTGGGTTCCCTGCTGGCCACGGTACTGATTAGAGCTCGGTGTTGTCGACGATGACACGTTACAACTGTTGTTCATCAACATCGACGCGTTGCCGCCTTGAAGCGCGAATGGCCACGACTGCAACGAGAACAGTAAACTGAGTTCGTCAATACGTAAAGGGGGACTTTTACCCCATTCATTAAATGTGTGGGGGTAAACTCCCCCGAGGCGTGTAAAAATAGGTCAAGTTTGAGAATAACTTTTTTCTTAAATAATTACAAAATGACAATTAATCTCGAAATTAATCGAAGACATCCGTAAGCAGAAAGTATTATTAGTTTAAAATTTTAAGGACGCCAAATTACGAAAATAACATGGAATGGCAATTCTTTTCACACATCTTTATCCTTTTGTTAGAGACGCGTTTTTCATACATTGGAGAAACGTTGATAGTAAGAGAACTTGAGTTATATTATAACGCAGGAGAAACAAGACGTCGTTCTTCAAATAACGGAACTAACTTAGAATTAATGGTGGAAAGGCTGGGTGGAAGCTTTGAAAGTGATTTGGTCCACCTGGAGAGACGTAAACAGAGAACCGAGGCGTCTGCGAAGACGACGTTCAACGTTGCGACGCCGACTGGATCCACCTGGATCCTTTGTTATTTTATGGAGTCATAATCGTGATACCAGAAATTGCGATTGCACCAAAAAGAGAACAACAAAAACATTAAACAGGAATAGCCTTTTCTGATTATACATAAACTGCTTTTAAATTCATACTTTTTTCGTACAAGTACTTCAGAAAAGAATGAAAATATAAGACAGAGATTCAGTTTGAACAAAAAATTGCACAATAATCTTGGCATCTAACAAAATATAAAAATATAAGTCGAAAGCTCAGTTTGAAGTAGAAACTAAATAAAAGTCTCCATCCAGCAAAAACAAAAACACTATTTCAAACACCCTGGCATCATTTCTTTATACCTAGGTGATCTTAATATGAAAAGAAATAATAAAAAATATAATTCCAATTTGAATTTTACCTCGCTTAACCAAAAACAAAAATTATTTTCTTAGCATTTACTACCGTCTAAAGAAAGGATTTTTTTCCCCGACGGTACCTCTATAGTTTTGTCGATATGTGTATAGATTAAAAAAATATTATCAATCAGAAATAAACAATGTCATGCACACATTATTAAAGGGACATATAATCTTAACGTACCTACGTACTTGACCCGCTGTTAAACTGTAGTTTATTTTGAATAACAACAAAGTCGACGTATTTTTTTCACTTTATAATATACATAATGACAAAGGCGTCGTATGACTCGCATGAACACCCATCTTAATTATTATAATATTCAATCGACGTTTACAAATGCAAATTTTGAATTCAGATGTTTTTACCCGCTGGACTTTTAGCCCCAGCCTACCTTACAGCCGAGCCACAAATGTTGCAACTGTCTTTCAAACGGTCGAATCAACTTATATTGTACAATTAATTGTACAATAAATCGTATCGTCTGTTGGCCATTTTAGTTGTACAGTTCGTCATACGATAAATCGTAACACCTTTGGGTCCGTTTACACCGGGAGCGAGATGGTTAATTAATTATGACTTACCAGCGCCAGAGATAAAGACCTGGTCGTTTCCGAATGGGTGTCGCCGTCGTCCCTGAGGACCGCTCGAAGGTGAGCGATGTAAGTTGCAGCTAGACGGAGGGTATCCAGTTTGCTCAGCTTCGTGTCTGCCGGTACCCAGGGCAAAGTGGTTTTTAATCTGCAAAACGCCTTGCTGAGCACCCTCATCCGAGCACGTTCCCTCGCGTTCGCTGCGTTTCTTGGCGCACGGTTGTCTAACTCGTCTTTGCTGTACTTTTCGTCGTTGGCAAAATCATCGTCCTCTACTTCGAACGACGGTGTCGAGGCTCGTCGCTTGCGTGGCATACTCTGCAATCGTTCAACCGCAGTATGGTATTATCAGAAAGTAGGTTCCTTTAAATGCTCCAATAACAGCGGTCTCAAAACCCTTATCAATGAGAAATCGTTGAGAACAGAGAACCCGTCCGGGGATGGATTATATGTACGAAATTTCTTTGGAGACCAAAGGACAACGAGTTCCTTTAATTGCTTCGCTTCGATAATCCACGTCAACTTTCCGATTATAGAACCCACAAGGGTTGAAGACGGGGATACAACGCCTCACCTCGTTCTTATTCTCGATGCACTCGATTGTTTTTTTTTTTTTTTTTTTGGATCGTATCGGTGGAATGTCACGGTAGGTCGCGAGGCTCGCGCGAAACTAATTGTACGTCAAAAGTGTGAACGATGAAGAGGAGTAGGCGTTGAGAGGACAGATGAGAGGGACGGAGGAGAGAAAAAGACGGTCGGTCAGGGAAGAGGGAGATTTGAGACGCCCTGAAAATCGGGCGGAGCTTTCCGAAACCGAAGAGCATCTTCCCTTTGCCCTGGCCACATCCTCCTCTTTCGCTTTTTCTCATATGACTCGTCCAATCGTTTCGTTCTGCGTCATCTGCAGCCACCTGGTCCATCCTTTCTTCTATCTTCCTCCGAAACACACACACACGCGCGTGCGCGCGTGAACACATATGATTAGTGTTTTTTCTTGAACGGAATTGACCTTCGACCCGTTTACTTTACTTTCGGATATCCGTGACGTTTCCTAGGCACATTTGCTCTTTTTTTTTAAATATCACTTTGGGGAATAATTTTGGTGGCTGAAAAATTTGGTTAGTGTTATTCACGAGAATAGACTTGTTGGCGTTTAAAGTTGTGTGAAGATTTGAATGAAAATGAAGACATTATTTTATTGTAATTACGACCCGATCATAAGTGATAATAAAAAAGATATGCTTGTCTTATATACAATTTATTACGTACTTATCGACTATTTGTATTCTTTTTCAATGAAATTAGCCATTCTTTTGTGGTTCTGTTTTTTGTATTATGGTGTTGATTATTAACCCAAATTTAATTGACACTTCTAATATATTTCTTTGGAGAATATAGTTTATTTGAGAGAAACTAAACTGATAGTAAATCTGATTAAACATCAAGACATTTAATTAGTACTTTTAATTTGTTCTTTAGTAAATTACAGTTTTAACTAGGAAGCTTTTGAAACTTTCTTCGTATGTATATAGAACATTATTTTATTGCATATGTATACGTACGAAGATAATAAGATATAATTAAAAATAATAGTAATTCATAGTCTAAATAAATAAATTTTGTCCTCTGTTTCCTTCTCCCTTCGTTTTTTTCATTTAGACATTTACGGAGAAGGAAACGAGCATTTGATCTATTAATCCGGTTAAGATCCTCGTGAACGGACTGCCAACCATTTCGTTGAAAGGAGGACTCGAAATGGATCCTGTAACACGAGGTTTGCGGTAACCCCACTGATCCTACTTAACATCCTGAAGAAGGGGCTGACTTATTGCTCTACAAATTCGTGAAAGTTCCTTCGCAATTCGACACCTTTCCATGTAATTGGCCACGTTCCCTTCTAGGGATATGTATCAATGGATATGTGTATACACAGAAATTTGTTAAAATATATGACCTGCTACTAAAGTTTTACTCTAGGGAATCATTATGTAAGTAACGTGAGTTTCTCAGAAATTTTATGGACGCTAAATTGTGGAAGATGATAGAAAGTTTATTATTGATTAATTTTTAGAAGAATATTTCCATTCGTTACACTAAAAAATTTTACAAATATACATTTCAAGCATCTTGAAAGTACGTATTAAAGAAATTTATTTCTATGAAAAATTCGGCTTTATAGCCGAAGAGAGCACATTAAAAATTAAAATATTTATGTTACCTATTCATACATAATCAAAATGTTGAATTGTACTAAGTTTTAGGTAGTTTCATATTGTTATTTCTATATTTTTTAACCATGAACTGAAAACGAGAATAGTGTAATTAAAACTTAAAATTTGAATATTTCCTCTCAGTGTGAATAACAAAACCGTTAAATGAGATAATCATAGACTTACCGAAGAATAGTTGGCGCGTAATATTAGTATTTCTTAACAATTTTTATCTTAAAAAATTGCTCCCGATTTGCTCCCTCGGAATCTAAAATTGCTCCCATCGCAACAATATATGAATGTACGTATCACCGACTATTTCTGAATTAATTATGTTCTGAAATACCGATAGTGTAAAAAGTCAGGGATTTTCTGCTGCCCTCTACGTTATGAGAACGGTGAATTTGTGAACTACGTTAAATCCAATCGAGCTCAACTAGTCTGGTTTTTTTTCGCGTACAACAAAGTTATTGCGTTTATTATTGTTTTCATGAATATGTCCGTTGAATATTCCCGTCAAATCATATAGAGACACGCAATATGAATGAAATGTATGATACTTCATTTGTGCTAATAATGCTCAGAATTCATGCTTTATCGGTAACGTCGGGTATTGACATTAAAATGGTAAGGGGCTTCTAACGTCCTCGAAGTATGAGACAGAAAATTACATTGCATGTAGGTCTATTCTTATATCTCGTCTCTGATGATACATAGGTCTATCCTATACCTAGTCGGTGTATGTATGGCTCATCTGAGGTGATGTGTCGTAATTCATTATTTTTCCGGAGAGGGCTCTAAACACGCATATGAAAATGGCTGCCAATGCACGTCGAAGTGATTTGCGAATCGTAAGTCGATTCGTATTCTTCGGTCGTTAATTTTTTGCGATTTTCTCACGTGTATTAGTGTTTTTTTTACGTATTTACGGGACGCTACGTTTTTCATTTAACGCTTGTTGGTACGCAGCACATAAACGACGAGATTTGAAGGATATTTTCAAGAGGCTGAAGAAAGTTTCTGAAAGGTGGTTGGTCGTATAACCGAATTTTTTATACGAAACACCCTTGTGTTTAGAAAATACGTAAGTTTAAAAATAGCAAACATTGATAATTAAGTTATCAGTTTACGTTTACCCATTGAATTGCATGCGTCATGGAGGTTAGGACATATATTTTGTATCCTAAACAAGATGAAGCTGTTCTATGCTGAGTGATCAACATAAGAAATATTCTAATAACTCTTTGTTAACGTGAAAATTAGTAACATACTAATTTGTCAATCAAATGGAATTCGTTTATACTTAACGAGCAATATAATTAATTTTGTTGTTACAGGTATTTGATCAGTTAAAGTTTACTTTGATATGACTGAGGAACATCAATTACCTTCTGATTCTGATGAAGACGATGAAGATTATGTTCCTGATGGTGTGGACAGTGAACCTGTTTCAGAAGTAGAATCTGAAGGTGATGCAGAAAGTGGTCCTGAAGATGAAAATGATGAAAATAAGAGAGAAACCTCAAAGAAAAGAGGAAAGAAACGAAAGAATGTTACAAAGACTAAAGCTAAAAAACATAGGAGGTCAAGAAAAGATGTGAAAGATGAAAGCAAGGAAAAAGAAGAAGAAGGAGTAGAGGAATCCAAAGAAAAGAAAGAACTTACTGCAGAAGAGGAAAAGAAAAAAGCAGATTCTCTTTGGGCTGACTTCATGAAAGATACAGGTGAATAATTTAAACAGAACGTATTTATTAAATTTTTATATTGTCATTACTGTCTCTACTTGTATATTTGTATTTCTTGCAGCTGTTGTATCTAAACCTAAACCACAAAACTCAACAAGTAAACAAAAAGAGAAAGCACCACCTTTGGAAAAGCCAAAAGTAGAGGAAAAAGTTAAAATAACTAAAGTATTTGAATTTGCTGGAGAGGAAGTGAAAGTTGAGAAGGAAGTGCCAATAGATTCAGCAGAAGCTAGATTGTCTCTTTCTTCAGCTGAGAATTCTGAGAAAACAGAAAATTCTGCTTCTCCTGCAGGGAAAGGTTCTGGAAGGGGAAGGGGTTTCAAACGAACTGGCCTAGGAGGTATTTCTTCAGTTCTTGGGCAAATAGGGAAAAAAGCTAAAATCAGTACGCTTGAAAAGTCAAAGTTGGATTGGGACAGCTATAAAAAGGAAGAGGATTTGGAGGATGAGATTAGTACTCATAACAAAGGCAAAGATGGATATTTAGAGCGTCAAGATTTTCTACAGAGGGCAGACTTACGACAATTTGAAATTGAGAAACAATTACGTAATACTAATCGACGCAGTACACGGTGAATTTATATCACAATTTTTGCATATGTTTCTTCACTACTGGTGAAGATCAGAGATGATATTAAAATGAATATCCTTATTAGACTTGCCAGTTTCCGGCGTTTATAAAATGTATTTAATTCTAATTCCTCAAACACTCAGTAATGTCTCAGCATGTACAAAAATGTGTTTGCCTCGCTTGACTTGATGATTGTCTGGATCTGTTTACAATATGGTCGAGAGTCAACTATGTGAGAAGAGACTGATCATTCCAATACATTAAATAATATAGTATATTACTAGTAGTTTAAATTACCAACTGCGAGCTATGTCTCGGTCTATTAAATCACAGAACTTCGCATCGAAGCAGGGTGTTTGCTTCAAAAACCCCAGTGTATTCTAATAACACAAGCTCCAGAAACACTTTTATTCCGTTTCAGTGAAGAAAAAGAACGATTAACACAATATAAATAGTGTAAGCATCTGTTGAGAATGAATACTTACGAATATATGTATGGCTTAGAAATAATCATGGCATTAGTATCATTTACAATCACTGCCTTTGGCGAATCGTGCAGAATAAGTTACTATATTTACAAACAAGGTATATGAAATAAAAACGCAGACAGGTAGTAAAAATAAAAAGTTATAGTAATGGTTTGATATTTTTTCAGCAATTAGATTATCAACGAATGATATTTATTTGCAAACTGCAGAATGATATATCTGCAAAATATTTCATTATAGTCTAATGAATGATTCACTTGATCTGACATCTATAAATTTTGGCTCAGGTTACTATTTCTAGAGTACATGTAAAATATATACTACAAATAAGTACGGGATGTGCTTGTAATCTATTCAGTATGATAAAATAAAAATGTTATGTATTGTATCATGACATTAGAGAATTAAACGATTATGACAAGGTCGACAGATATGTTGACCACTAATAATATAAAGTAAAATGTTTATCCTTGTCGTTTTCGTGCATCCTTCTCGTAACGATATACTTTTTTATCATGCAACAAATTTTTAGTAGTTCAAATGTTCTGTAAGAGACCCTTTGTAACGAACTGCTTCATGTAGTTATGCAGCATTAATGTGTCTGTTATGTTTATATTACTTAAGTACTTATACGTGTCGCTAGTTCATGGATCGAAAATATCTCTGTGAGCCCTTACAACGGTTTTTTGTAAACAAATACGAACTAAACAATTTCAATACATCAAATCATTATTGACCTTTATTTATGAAAATTGACTTCCTTTTCTCCTGAAACTAGGAACGTTTGATACATATGTCTTAAGGTTCAGTTTGTTTCTAATACGAGGGTGGTTCAAGAGAACGGAATACCTGAGTACTTCCATCAAGATTGAAAAAAAGAAAAAATGTATAAAATAATATTTTGAACTCAGTTCAAATGAAAAAAGTAACAGTATCATGATTTTTCTTCGATTTTTAATCTTCAAAATTGTAACATAGTATAATCGCGCTTGAATACATTTTAATGATATGGACAACGTGCAACAAAAAGTATAATTTTAATAAATGAATAAAAATTACCATAAGAATTTTTTCTACTTTACTGCTTGAAAAAATGGATCGTTTAACAAATTTTGTCAATCTTTAAAGAATTTTCAATTTAATTGTATAATTTTTCTTCCGAATTTGAGACCTTTGGAAGTTCTTAGTCGGGAGTTATGATTTTTTAAATATATAGGTCCCATATTAGGTAACTTCACCCTATTCATGAGGGCTAATAATAAATTTGAATATTTTTTTTTGTAATGTCTCGGGAGTATTCGAAACCCGTATAACGATAAAAGATCGGACAACATTTAATAGACGTGAGTGATCTGGAAAACTCGAACTTCTGTCGGAAAAACATTTCATATGCAGTAACTTAGTACAAAGCCAGGCGCTTGAGACGTTATATTCGTTTCACAATTCGTAATATTCTCAAAGTATTTAGCTGAGCGTATCAAAGTACACGCATACATATGTACATAAGAGTGTTTTTATTGTAGATATCGTTAGAGAGCGTTAATAATTACGAGGCGCGCGAGCTTTGCTCGAAATCCCTAGGCATCTACATATTCACCGTCGCTACTTTCAGCGCACAACCGTAGGATAATGGATCCGCCTGAAAGGATATCCTTTGTGTACTTTATTTGGTATACTGTAACGAGGCAGGCCCGCTGTTCGTAACGTAGACTTTAGAACGTATTGCGAACAGCCTTTACGTTCATCGACATGTAAAAGCAGAATGTTACGCGCCTACGACGGAGTTTTGCAAGGATAATTAGAGGCAGGAGAAGGACTTCCCAGGTTTCCGTCGGAGAACACAGTTATGTGCGAAGAAAGGCTCCCCGCCACTTTGTGTTTTGTTGAATAAATTATAAAGGGATCCGTCGAAAAGCACAGAATTCAAAGCGAATTACGTGCGGTTGATTATACAGACCATCAGGGAGCAAATTTAGAAGAAGAAATTACGAAGGAACTGTCACTTCGCTAGTTCGAGTCTCCTTACTCTACATAAAATTATACATTCTAATAGGGTGAATCTGGGCGAGATGCCCCATCGGTAGAAGTGCCTCAGTTATTACATTTCAGAAAATATACACATGTCATAAAGATATTCGGACTAGTGTTTTTTTATTTTATAGGCTTAAGTTGAATGTTAAAAGACTTTTAATTCAATTACCAACGTTATATCAGCGCGAGTAATTAGTAAGTCCGATATCTACCAGGGAAATTCATGTACCCCCGACACTGTTTCATCGACGGAAAAAAAGCCTAGTTCTCACGATTAGTCAGTCTTTCCTTTAAACGATTTGCAATTTCTCCCATTCCGCTGTTCGGTCATGCATATGCAAAAGATGACTTCTTTACATGTCCGTCGTTAATTTACATAATTGGAGGCGCGTCGCTTTTTTTTTATAGGTCGATAACCGTGACTCTGTCCAGCAGCACGACGACCGGAGGATAACCGATGCTATATCCTTTCGAGACTCTTCCCTGCGTAAATGTAATTTCGGTGCACCTGAAGGAATCTGCAAGGCAAAACCGGGAGACCTATTTACATCGTGGCTTCTCTTCTGCGATCGGGAATTCACACAGGCCGCCGAAGATTTGTTCGAAGCCCGTGAATAAAATGCAGTAAACTCACGGACGAGAACGTTCTCGCGAGTAATGGCGTCTGAAAGTTTTTTAGGTCACCGCTTATCTTGTATTTCGTTGCAAACATCTTCGAGTTCGAAGAAAATTATTGCTTCGATCCTCTTTCGGTTCCACTACCTTTCCTCTTTAACCTGTTAACTGAAAAAGACGACTTGACGCGTCGTTTATATTCAACCATATCTTCGGATAATCTTTCGTTTTATTATGCATTTAGCCGAAGATTTTTAAAATTGGCCTGATTGTAACATCTTTTTAAGATTTTTTTGTAGTGACGGCAATTACTATATGTCGTATTAGATTGTTGCGCATGAAATGATCGTTTCATTACCGGCACTTGATATTATATTTTATTAAATACAGTAAACAGCTTAACAATTACCACGCCCGAAATAATATCGCTGATGTTCGATATCGATTTACAAGCTCGACAGCCTTCCTTGTCTATCGAACTATGACGCTTTATCACGCCAAAAAAATTATTAACACTAAAAGCGTCCACTATCACTCTGCCGTTCATCTCGGGAACGGAATTTCTTGCCCTTCGAATAGCATAGCCGTAGAATCGAAGTGTACGCGAGTGGACGTGGTTGGTTCATTCACAACGCCAAAGTGAAAAAACGAAGACGTCCACTCGAAAGCCCAGAGACCACTCGTGCCTAAAAGCACTCGGTCCGGTATGCGGATCAATTATATGAAAGAAACGTGGCACGAATTAATGCGAGCCGGTGGCACAGTACGAACGGAGAAAGAGGGAGTCCAAAGTGGAACCATGCGAACCCCCTTTTTGCGGTGTTCACTCTTAATTCGCGGGCGCGAATTGCACACGTTCGCTAATGTCCTCGACCCCGCGTTTATTTTAACGATTCCGAGAACGCATCGAAACGAAATAATTGCAACAGCTCCGCCGACCTCTGACATTGGCCGATACCTGTCGGGATTATAGAGGGAATCAAATTTATTTACTAGGTAATGGCAAGCCAGGAAAGTGATTTTTGGGATATTTTTTCTCAAAAACTGTAAGACCTTTTTCTAAAAATATTGTTGTATTTGAAATAGTGTATTTTAAAGAGTATCTCATAATTTTTTATGAAAGAGTTTAATGCCTAACTGGAATTCATTCTCCGCCGGATTAATCACGGGATACGTAAACAGACTAACTAACGTCCCGAATCTTACATCGTATAACACTCAGGGACAAGTGGCGGAAACATGTTTCGGTCTCTTTTCTGTCGCTGGATCCACCCCGTCACCGTCTCGCTCGTTTGCTCCCCTGTTCGGCTCATTCGAGCAAGCGTGTTTTATTAGATGGCCTTCCAGAGGTTTCGCGGCGCCAGCTCTTCTTGGTGCCTACTGGCCACTTACTCTATCCCCCGATGTTACAGACTACGTAAACGTAAATGAGATATTGGAATAGTAGCTGAACCCTCAGTGAAATCCGTCGGTGAATTATACCGGAAGTCGGTGGCGCGGCGGCCCGTTGATGCAAACGAAACCATTCTTTATCGGGGATGAAATGTAGGTCGTAGAAAGTTACGGAAGGAGTTATCGAAGCCAATTCCGCCAGATTCTGTAATTAATTTAGCTTTTGTCCTGATAGTTACGTAAAGCAGTCTCTATGCGACGCGGCGACGGTTCGATTGTCCTCCAATAATAATGGCAATCTTGTTTTCATAAAACTTATTATTCATCATACACCCATCAACATTTAAAATTGAATATTATAGTGGACATATTGATGTTTGAGTAGTTCTAACGTAATATTATACTTCCACAATCATATGTATATTTTAGGATTTATATATTTGTCTATAATTATGAAAGTGTGTAATATGTATACATCTAGACTAAAAGCAGTGACCGGTGGAAACGAGTATGAGACCATTAACAAAGTAGCAACAGTGTGAGTGGAGTCAATTTAGAATAAGATGTCATAATTTTATGTCCTGATACGAAATACGTGCAAACCATTTTCGGTAAAACCCACGGTCGTTCCCGGTATATTAACCGCCTCGAAAGACTCATTTACGAGTGAAAACGGTCCACGGAATTCGTCGGTCACCGATGAGTATCACTTGTGTGACTCATACCTCGTGATGTAATCTTCGTTCTTATCGTTAACGCCAACCAGGTGTGTCAGAACGAGAATTAATGGTCCTTTAGTTCATCAATGCAAAAACTTCGCAAGATATTTTTCGTAAACGTTTCAAACATCATCGAAAAAAAAAATAAATATATGTTAATACAGTGTTCCATATTCAATCAATCTTATTGATTTTAATTTTATTACTAGTTAAACATTTTTGGTTACTTTCAGAAGCAATTTTCAATTAAAAGTTAAAATAGAAGTTAAAGTATAATGTCAGTACGGGTGTGCTGATCTTTCGACGGTGGTTTCCGCGAATTTACAAAGGCCTGTCTCGCGGAGACGGCGTTTAAATTCCAAGTATGGTCGAAGGCGGTCGCGGCGAAAGGAATTTGTCGTTCGGCGAGCCGACTCTTTAGATACGACTATTATGCGTCTTGCGAGACAACCATTACAGGGTGAATACAAACGAGCTCCCGATGCCACTGGCATACCGCCCTTTAATGAAGTTGTAGTTCGTAGAATCAACTGTCCACACTAGACAGCCTCGTATTTTTCAAGCGAAATGCCGTTTAATCAGTGAACTATGTGGACTTTTATGTAAGATTGGTAAAACGGAAATAATAGTTGTGTCGCAGTAATTGGTGGAATTGTGAAAGTACAACGATTATGTGTTAGAGTAGGAGAATCGATATTATAAGAAAATTCGAAAATTTGTGTATACAGTAAAGAGTGGATGAGAGTTAAATAAGAAGTTCCTATTTGCCAAACATAGAATTTATTGCCCCCACCCCCCAGCCCTTACTTTTGTTGCCGAGGGTCAAGCTTTGAGCAAACATTAGATTTGTGATGTGCTGAAACGATTCGCGATACACCGTGAAAGTTTTGAAGTGGACACGCGTTTTAACTCTCATAGAAATTCTGCGGTATCGGAGTATTATAATTGACATCGGAACAGAAACGTCCTCGGTAAAGGATACATTACTTCGTCTATTGAGAAGTGAAAGAAAGGCTAGTTAATATTAACAATCGTTATGAATCGGAGCGATAATCCCCATGACAATTGCTTAGTCGATAGTCGATAGCGATTAAATTTCAGAAATGCTATGGAGTGCGCGTTATTCGGGGGGATGATAGGTATTCGGCCGTTTCCGTCGTCGCTCGGTCACGCTCGGCCTCAGCTATACCGCCCAGACCCGTCAGTCTCGCGCATGTCTTCGTGGCGGGAGCACGCGTTCTCTCGCTCCGTCGCTCTGACGCGAAAAAAATCGATCGTATTTTGGTAAACGTCGAACGTTCTCTTTTTGTAACGTCAACGAACCAAAAGGACGTTCGGCCGGTGAACGAGTGGTGCGTCCAGACGTTTGTATCAGTGAGAAACTATCAGTGCTGGGTCGTTCGTGATCGATCCTTGTGTGTATCCTGTCAGGGTGTTTTTTTGCTCCGTTCTCTCGCCAGGATATTATGCTACCGATCGCGTGTGCATCAGAATCGTTTTGACTCGGGGGCCAACACCGCAGATCACCAGCAAAATGTTACCCCAGACTCCCGACATCATTCCTACGACACTGAACCAGGTAAGTGACAATTTTGTCGATTCGACGCGGGACATTTCTCACGCCGTGACCTTCAATCCGAGAGTCCACTTCCCCTGATTCACGGTTCGCGTTTCACGTTTCTGTGACAGCAAAAAAATAACGGCCGTTCCGTTTACGTCATCTGTGTTGTTTACGTCTACTGCGAACTGCTCGCGGAATTTACATTTCGGCCGAATTCGAGGCCCAGTTAGTTTTCTTTTGCTTTCGTAATGTAACCTCATTTCATCAGTGAGGAGAAATTCGTGGAACGCCTCGTTGTGACTCGTCACTTTTCCATCCAATCTTTTGGAGTAGACGCGTGTTTGTAGCCGTGAAAGCGAGAAACGAGCCCGCGGTTCGATTTTATCGATTCGCTAACGTGACAAGTTCAGACCGGTAATCTTGATGCTTGTAGCGATCGGCGGGAGGTTCAATTGAGTAACATTACGATCTTATTGTTTTCTATTATACGAATCGCAGACACTCGATCATTTCGAATAGATTTTACGATTCCCATTATAATAACACAATACGATTGTTGAGGTATAAGGAAATTGGGAATGAAATTATACAAAATTGATGACAATCGTCGGAGTAAGTACTCTTTACGATGGTACTATCAAGGAGCAGCGCGCCACTCCTGTCAAGATGGCGTGGAAAAGACAAATATTTGCCGTCCATAGTCGCCGGGTTCGAGAACATCGTTTTGTGGGAACAGAAAATTCCTTGTGAGCCGCGGCTCACGTTGTGTCAATATTATACGCTCATATACATGCTTCTTTCCAACTTCATGGACGTCTGCAGAACTCGCCGCTGAATGACAGGTTAGGTCCTTGATAATGTCGCCCAATCGATTAAGTGTTTCACTGGATCATTTTAAGTACATGATCTCGCCTTTTCGAGCACGTGAAAAGTCCCAAGGACGTGATTAAAACCCATTTTCTGATCATATTTAAGTAACCATGGTCATTAGCGGACCCGTTCATTTCAATTTTTACCCACTCATCTGATATAACAGAGGTCCTTCAAATCTTTTAAGAGAATTTTAAACCAGAACTACCAAACCCTTTTATTTTACTTGACATTATACTTTAGTATACAAGATGTTTCATTTAAGTTGTTCACTTCAAAATTATTGAACGAAGAAGGATTCTCTGTATTTTTATTCATTTAAAATACGGGTAGTAATATTAATATTTTTCCACACGATTATATGATTGTAAAGGTAAACGAAACATCCCGTATATTATACAATTCAGTATTCATTCAACGCTGATAAGGTGCTGTATAGTTTTCTGCGCCTTGTTTAATATACATAGAAGATAAATATACGTAGAAAAGAAATCTCAGCGGGCTCGATGAAATTCTCTTACGTTTATTGCTCGGCTGTGCGAACTTGGCGCATCAAGGATCATCTACTATTTGAGAGCAAGAGAGAGAGAGAGAGAGAGAGAGAGAGAGAGAGAGAGAGAGAGAAAACACCTTGAATTTTATGATTATGCTCGCAATTCGGGTTAAGGTTAAACAAGCGAAGAGTTTTAAATCGTAATAATTTATGACAGCGTAAAAATACGTTATTGGAATTTCTTGCTTGCAAAACTAAAAATACTAGTTCCTATTTTTAAAGAGGATCTCCTAGTGTAGTATTAATTACGTATTTATTCTACTTTATTCATGGATATGTACTAAAAAGATTTCTATAAATTTACTACATGCTGAGGACATATAGCACCTTTTCTATTTACAAAAGTGACAAAACTCACTGCTCACTCAGCTCACTCCGAAACAGTAAGAGTAACATAACTGCGCTCTGCCAGTCAACTTATGAAGCTAAAAGTTAGCTACACTTTTCACGATGATTGGTCGAGTAGTGTATTTTGCAACTTTCTTATAGTGATAACTCGAAACTCATGCTTCTCGAGTTGTGTCACTTTTGTAGCAAGGGCACGATATGACAGACCCGAGATCATGGTTGCCCGAGGTCGAAAAGAAAGCATACATATAAAGAGCACACCTCGAACATGTGGGAAGACGGGTCGAGCAACGACTAAGGTCGCAAGAGTCCTGCTGGAACTCTGCTTTTATTGTATATACCAGCTCCTCCTTACTGTCTTTCGTCTCAGCCCTCGGGTGACCTTGACCGTTACGATGCCATATATCGTTTGAATTCGTCCTAACAGCGGCTTTCGTGCAACATAAAGAGAAACAACACGGTGACTGTTGCGAGGGTCACCGACGACCGGCATTGGGACTTCCCAGCGTCGCTCGTGGGTGTCACCAATGATCACCGGTTGAATGAAACTTTGAACGGCTATCAACTAAACGTGAATTTTTGGGCATTAGTAGCATCGTCTATTGTATTAAAATATATCAATTCCATTTAAAAAACAAATTTGACCTTCATATGTCCTCTACGCGTCCATTTTCAAAAAAACTACTTAAATGAAATTATTTCCACCTCAAAACCGTTCAACTTTTATTTGAAACATATTTCGGTATCATCAACCGTTTTGGGAGATACAATTCTCGAGGTTCGATTTAAACGACTCACCCTGTATAACAGAATTTTTAGCACGTCACGTGGCTTCTGTACTTAGGGAAGTTCGTTATTTTCGCGGTGGGGCCCGATTTTCCTGATATCTCGGATGACTCTGAGAAAACGTCTACCTCCAACTCCAATTGCTCGCAGATCCGACGGACTTCTAGGACACTCGTTTCAGGTTTATCGTTCGTGGAAGATCCGTGACGTACACTGCCAGGGAATTCTTACTCGCGGCGGAGTCTTATCGATTGTTTCGAAAGGCAACGTCAAACGAGACGCTCCGTGCGTATGTATGTCCATAAAGGGTGTTTATCCTGAGAGGAATATAATCGCGTATCCTCTGAAAGGATTTCGAGTAAGTAGTCGGACCTCTATGGTGTTCCAAACACGAAAGATTCCACGCGTTACTGCGATATTATCTCCCATAGCTGCGCCGCATAAGCACACAACTGATATTCTAAGCGCGCGCGTTTTCTTTTTTCACAGCGGTGGAGGCAAATTGTGGAATAGATCAGCTGATACATGTTGATCGGAGGTACTCCGAAAAATTGTCGTATCTGACACCAATAAAATGTTTTTGTTAAAACAGTAGAGCCTCTCTAAAAAAATTGTAACTTGCATAGATATCCATGGGTTAAGTTTAATAGTCTGCACTTATTTTCTAAGTGAATGATTTCAATATTGCGAAACCTTCGGATTCTTAAAGATACTTTCTGTTCCGTTTTTAAATCTGTATTAATTTCTTCAATTCCTATAAAATTATAGACTTTATTACTTTCCGTCCATTTCTACAAATTAATATTTTAATATATACCTCAGTTGCCTCGTTAAGTTTATTGAATGAAATTGTGGAGCACAATATAATCCAGTTGCAGCGTGCCACGTCTATGACTCACTTTGAAATTTTTTCTCTCCTTTCTAATGGACCACCCTCTATTGGAATTGCGTCTATGAGTTAAAAGCACTCTTTAATAGACCGACTATTTAAATCCTGCTCTTAATTGTCCGCTCTGCATTGCTGTTCCATTTTTAGCCTTGATATTAATTGCTGTTTGCGATACAAGCGGGGACCGTGTACCGAGAAAGATATATGTATGTATGTACCCATATCCATTCGGTTGCCATTTACGGAAACGTCAGAGATTATTGCCCAATGACTGGAGGTAAACATGTACGCTGAAATTATTCACGGAACATTTTTTTCTTCTCAGTACGAAAATATATACAGTACCTGGTACTTATAAAATGGATGAGATTATTTTTAAAGCTCAAAAACATGCATCGAAACACTACATATTGGATCAGTGCAAAACTTTTGGTGGGTTTTGCTATACAAATGTAGGCGAACAACAGTTCTTAATTATAGTTCAAGAACAATTTAATAAAGTATACAATAATTTGTTTATTTTAAAAAATATATATAAAAATATATAAATTTTATGAATATCATTATTATTGAATACATACAGGCTGTTGTGTAGTACTTGGGCCAGTGAAGTCATAAAAGAATCCTAGAGGAAAATTTAGTATTATCTAGGGGGGACGGGGGCGTTCTGAACCTTCCATTTCGTTATGATTAAATGTTATTTAATTTGATTTCACATAAATTTCAAATTTGAAGATTTAGGTATTTTGTTATGCTGTATTGCACCCCCCCTCTGCCACCCCTATTTTTCAACCAAGGGGGCCCCCGAAAATCTGATAGCCCTAGGCTAGAACTTTCGAATATTAGACTAGTCGTATAATGGGTGTTCGGATAGGGAGATTCTACTGCATCTACATACGGATTAACCAGATTGCACGGACCCATAGGCCCATGGTGGTATCGTACAACCTCGTGTTGCCTATACTGTAGGCCCTATAGTATACAATGTTGTCGAACCCCAGTGTTTTTGTCCCTAGCATACCTTCCATCATCGTACAGTTTTGTCATGCGCGTTTCATGCAAATACTCGGCACAGGGAAAACGCGGCTCCACGCTCGGAATTCGTAGGTGTTTCGAATAACCGGAAGCGCGCATGACGAGATCGCCTGGATAAAGAGGGTAAAGGGGATAAAGAGAGCCGCGGTGAAATCGATACCGCGATAAACGGAATCCGACTAAGGAATTTGTAACGAGAAATTAACACCGCGTGTCCGTGGTGAATCGAACGTTTCCCCGATATGTATTGCTTTAAAAGGGGAACGGGGTCGGCTTTGGAAATTCGAAGGGAATTAGCTTGATCCAATCAGGAATTTACGCGTGACGTTTCCGCGATTCAGATTTTCAAGGTTAAATTCACTGTTTGGCTAGCACAACTTTTGAATACTACATGTGCGGAATATTTATAAATAAATAATTATTATAATCTACTGTAAATAATACAGCAGATCATTTAATGGGTAGATACTATGTATTAGGTATTTAATGCATTTTTTCAGCCTCCAAAAACGAAACTCCTTTAACTTTTAACCCTTT